TTTGAGCTGCTGCAAGCGCATGTGCTTGCATGTGTGAACACACCCATTGGGTGCATCTACACATGTGCTTTGCTGCTGAATTAGCTAATTAGATCCATGATAAAGCACTATTATCTACATATGTGATGCTACTAGGCTGGAGTAAACTAATTAACTCTACCGTAAGATAGTACTGTCCAAAACAAGTACTGCCCTGTGGCAGAGTTATTTACTCCACCACAATGCACATGTAGACAGTGACCAGGGCTGGCTGGGGCACAAGGGTCCTACAGCATGGGGACTGTCTGCCCCACCCCCGCCTAGCAGGTAAGTCTATAGGGAGGCAAGGGGGGGCAGATTGAGGCAGAGGGAGAACATTTTTTAGTAGGCTTGCCTCCCCAGCAGGTAAGTCCTACCCAGGCAGGGCCCCCTCAGCTTACCACTGCTTCTGCCTCTGTGACACTGTCCCTCATCATGGAGGCCTCGAACTAGCCCGTTTCCCTTCCCTCCCCCACAGACTGACCTATGGGGCTATGGTGGGCATGTACATGCACACAGGCACTCAGCCCCTCCACTCCAGCCTCAGATAAACTCCAAGAGGCTCCGAGATCTACCGGTGGATTGAGATCCACTGGATGGTGACCACTATAGTAACCTGACCAAATATTCAATCAATTAATGTAGTGGTAAAACAAGGAATAAGCAACAAAGTTATTACACAAAATATGTGTAATAACTTTGAGGCTGCTTCTTATAACATCTTTAATTGAATGTGTGACTAGTGCCCAGCCTCTGGAGTATACAGCTGGGGCGCCCCATGTGCTTCCATGGCTGAGAACTCTGGTCAGATCATCTGGCTTCCAACTAAGGGAGCACACCATGCATTCCCACATCAAGAAGCCCAGTCAGATGAGTGCCCCCCCTGCACTGGCAAGTAGCATGGTGCATCTCCCAGCTCGGAGCCCTGTCTGTTTATTGGGCTTCCAGTTGTGGGAGCATACCATGTGTTCCTGTGGTTGGAAGTCCAATCAGATGATCAGGGCTTCTAGCCAGGGAAGCCAAAGGTGTGGTCCTCCAGCTGGAAGTCCAGTCAGAGGAGTACACCATGTACTTTCGTGGCTGGCGGCTCTGTCAACTGAGCAGGGCTTCCAGTGGGAGGAGTACACCATGTGCTTCCCCAGCTAGAAGCCCCATCAGCATACAGGTACACTCCTGTGACTGGGAGCCAAGTTTTGCTACTTGCCAGTACAGGGGAAACCCAGGATTGGGGTCCCCTGCACAGGCAATATGGCACAATGGGATTTGATTGAGGACCCCACAATTGCACGCCCTGCCACACATGTGGCATGGCAGGAAGCATAGTTGTTGGGATCCCACATCACATCCCACTGCTCTTTACTCCATCATCTGTCAGGGGTCTAAATAGAAATTAAGTAAGCAGGGATGTTTGCTTGCAGTCATAGGGAGTGGACATAATGATCCAGGTGGTCTCTTGTAGTTCAGTGTTCCTTTGATTAACTTAAAAGTATCCCTGTAGTACTCTTTGAAACTGCATTTAGGCTTTATGTTCCATCCTCTTTCTGGGACTGTTTGAGGTATCATGCTAGGCATTACTAATACACGACTGTATCAGGTGCCTTTCCTTGTGATTAATAGATAGTGGGCACATCCACACATGATGCTACATTGCCATAGCAACACACTATGGTAATGTATTGTTGATAGGCAGAAACCGTGATACCACAGCTATGTCGCTGTAGCAATATGCTCCCTTGGTACAGTGCGTTGCTACACCGATGTAGCAGCTAAAAATAGCCATGTGCCACTGGTACCATGCAATACAGGCTGGTACTGTGCCATCATTTAGTACTTCCAAAAGGAAGTACTAAATGACAGCACAGTAACATTGGCACTGTAGGGGCATGTGTAGATGTGCCCACTATTACACAAATTAAAGAGCGTATGAATGACGACAGGAACGTGCATTAAACATAACAGTTTTTTTCTACATGTAACTACCATGAAATGAAAGCACTAGTGTAATTTTATGAGGAATATTATAAATAATAATAATTATAAAATGTATAATTATACATTTACAATTATAAAATATTATATATTTTAAAAACCCAGTTTTTGCCAGCACTCAAAAACCCAGTTTTTGCCAGATAAAGTACAAGTACAGAAGAAGATGGTGAACTTAAGTACTGTGCAAGCTTCTTTCTGAAAATCAGGTCTCTCTAAAGTGTCTCAGATCAGTCACCCCAAAACTGTGGCATTGAAATCACTAGCCATTTTTCCTTAAATATTGAGCTAAATTCTGAAGGTGTCTATGTCCACAAAAATCTCTTTGCAGTATAGTAGGTTTAGCCTACTTTATTTAGAAAAATTAAAAATAGCAGGGGAAAATGCAATATAATTTGCCTTTAGTACCTGAAAGTAAGTTGATTCAGTTGTCCTTTTATCCTCACAGTGCAGGGTTTCAACCTCAATATCCAATATGTGAATTCATTATGTTCCATGTAAAATATGGGGAATATTGGCCCAGTCTTGAAGTGTTCATTATTTGATATATATATGTAATTTACAGTCACAATACATTTTCCTTTAATTGATAATGCTTTCGGAGTATGTGTGTAACATATTTTGTCATTAGGAGAGATCTTTTTTTTTCCAGATGAAATTACTACATGACAAAGAAATGTTAATGTGTACTTTAGAACATTCTGGTTTCTTGGTTATTAATTCCTGATGTCTTGTTTTCTGGCTACTTGGATTTAGCTCATCTTTCATTCAGGTGTACTGGTGTCCCTAAGCATTTCTGGGCCTCAGCTGGAGAAAGTGGTGATTGACAGGACCCTGGTGGGGAAGCTCATCTCCGACACCATCAGTGATGGTAATTACACCTATGTGCAAATCAATTGCCTACATTAACAATAGAGCTGGAGAAATAGTATGTCAACAGGTAGACTAATTATTGCCACTGGGGACTTGCAAACACAACAAGTAATTGCATGTAATGCCATAGTTACAAGCCTCAGGACCAAGAGCAGTTTAAAAATAATATTAAACATCAAAGTTTTCAGTCTTGTCAAATATTGAATGTATTTTCTATTCCACATAGTCAAAGAAAACTTAAGTCCACTTGTTGTCCTTAAATATGAGTGTACAAGAGCTCCTTTTGATGTTTAGGAATCTGTTCTGTTCCACACCCCATACACTTCCCAAGCATGGGGACTTGTTATATGAGCTAGGCTTTCTCTTCCTGATTTGTTCTTTTCTGTGTATTGCAGTTTAAAATGATATAGCAGTACCTTCTTTCCTTGCAAATTTGTGAGGATAAAACTGTATTAACATTCTCTTTTATGTTAAACATTCCCACCTCATCTCAGGTTTTTTGACAACTTGGAAATATGATGGGTGTGGAGCACACTGTTTTGATTCTTTCTTCCTCTAGTCTTTCATCCTCAGCCCAAAGTCTGTTATTTCATCTCAGCTAGACTGTTAACTTGACTGTGTATTTTCCCCTATCATATCCAGAATGGTTGACTTCAGTGCTTGGGAAAACATGGTGTAGCAAAACTAAAGATAGCCATGAAACTTTAATTTAGCATTCTGTGGCTTTTATGTTTTTTTGTAAACACATTTACTTCTTTTTGTTTTATAAATAACTACTACAATCCAATAAAGTATTCTTAAAGTCATAAATCTTAACAAACATAACAGTCTCAAAAGTGTAGTGTTCAAACTCTGGTTCTGTATTTAAGGATACAGCATAGTGCTTTATTCGTGCTTGCTCAGAACGTTCAGAATTTTCCAGGCTTTAATTTAAAAATGTCTGTCTGAAGGTCAAATATTTGCTAAAGTTTATAATAAAAAATGGCTGAACCATTCTTGTACAATAAGAAAAAAGGACAAAAAACCCCCCTGTTTACCCATTATTTGAAAAAAAACAAAACTTCAGATGTCTTTTTTGGACATCGCTATTGCCCAGGAAATGGGAAGTTGAAAATTAAAATTTTGGCATGAAAATAGCCTCCTGAAGAACCAGGATACAGTCTTGGCTAAAGAAAATTGTTTTAATTTGATGTAGTTTTGAGCCTTTAAATTTTGTTTTTGAAATGATAAAGTATGATCCATAAAGAATCCATAGTGTTTCAAATGTAATAAATTATTTGGGCACAAAGTGTCCAGTAATACATACTTCAGAGGATTAATAAGGACAAGTTTCATTGCAAAAGTTTCTTGCCAATTTGGAATCAAATTAATGTCAGATTAAAAATGGGGGCAGGACAGTCCCAAAATGGGAACATCAAGTTCCGGTCCTGAGCTGCATGACTCCAGGACAGCATTTGTCCCAGATTCCTAGTATCGTGCAGGGATCTGAGTTTTCTGTTCACAACGGAAAAAAAACAGGATACGGCAGGCTGAAGAGTTCCAGCCTGCCAGGGGCTACAGGGAACAGGACGCAGGGGGTGCCACGTGTATGTCTGTGTGTGCCCATGCATGTGGCCAGGAATACAGCCCCAGGCAGTGGTGGAGAGAAGCTCCCTTGCCTCTCTACAGGTAAATCTATAGGGGTGGGGGGTAGTGGAGGGCAGACTGAGGCCCCCACAGTGAGGGAGGGTGTGGGCCAGGGGCTGGGCCTGGGGCAGTGCATGGGGCCCAGGGCAGTCTAGGCAGTGGGACAGAGACATGGGAAGCTTCTCCAGGGAGCGGGGGGTGGGGAGCAGCTCCCTGCCACTGCATGCACTCTCAGGAAGCAGGGCATGGAGGGGCATGTGCCCCGCAAATTTGTGCATGGGTTTGGGGGGTGGATACAGGCTGCTTGCTGCAGCCTCAGGGTTCTCTGCCCTGTTTGCCTCCTGCCTGGAGCTGTGTGCTGGCTGTGCCACCATGGTGAGGTGTCCCCTGCCTGCCCAGCAGCAGCGGGGGCAGCAGCTCAGAGTTATGTTCCCTGCTGCTGCCGGGCAGGCAGGGGATTCTTTGCCATGGTGGTGTAGCCAACACAGGGATCCTGGCAGGAGGGCAGCAGGACGGCTGTGTTAAGTCTGTGCCCCAGGGGGTATGTATCATCTTAGGCCTCTCCCCTCCCCACCTGTGGTGGGTGCTAACAAAATTATTAATAAAACTTCTTAGTGCTTGGTGGTTTTTAATATGAGAAGTCTAAATCTAAAGAGGATATAATAGTCCATTTTAACTATTACATCATATATCTAGAATAAAGCTGCTTCAGAAGCATAGAATTTTTATGATAGTTTTATTGTATGATTTTAAGTAGTGTGCCAATTGAAAATTATAGATTGTAGCATAATGTATGCAAATGGGGTAGAATTAAGGTCTCCCATGCGGTATTTTAGTGTTTACTGACTATTGAATGCTTAGCCGCCAATGTTAATATTTTTATTAAACTAAGGTTTTTTTATATGCAGTAGTTACAAGATTGTGGCTTCCCTAGTAAAGGAGAGAGAGAGACTTAATCATTGTTGCTGGTTTAGTTTAATATATATTGTGATATAGGTAAGGATTGGCTTAATTAAGAATAGATTATTATGGAAAAGTGCATCTTCGTAAATCAAAGCTACATGCAGGATTTTTATAATTAGCAACAATGCCTCTTGAAGTTTAAAATTCTTAACTTGAAACTTTGAGGTCTTATGGCAGGTTTGAAATGCCTGTCTAATATTTGAAAACTTGTTAGGGGGCTGTGACAACACAGATGCATAGCATTTCTCTTTAAAGGGCCTCTGTGGAAAATGGTATGACCATGCCTGACCAATGTTGTTAGGTCCAGTCTTGTGCAGGAAATGGGCCTTTTCCTAGATTTTCTCTACCCCTACCCTAAGCGTATTCCTGAGTATTGCATGTTATGAATGACTCCAAAATATATGCCTAATTCAGAAAATGAAAATTGTGCTTGGTCTTCAGTTTTTTTAATAATCGCTCATGCCTCTCCTGACCTTCCCACCTATTTGAAATCTGTTCCTATAGCCAATTCTGTAATTTTTCATTGCTGCTACAGTAACACCAGATGGCTCTGATTAGATAGGGCTACCTTGTAGCCAAAACCTTTCCTGTTTGCCCTTTCTTTCAGCCCAGTACAGCTTTTTTGAGACAAGAACTTTCTCCACTCTGTGTTCCCATCTTCTCTTGGAGTAATGTCTCTTTCCCCCCAGACTTCACAGGTTTTGAGATTTGGTGTGCCTCTCTATGGAAAAATATAACTACAGTAATAAAAAATATTGGGACTCTAACAAAATATACGCTGGGATATCATGCCCCATAACTCTACACGGGCGCTTAAATCCAAATTTTGTTACAAAACCTAGTATTAACAGGATTGTTTTCATGTCAGCTGTTTGGATTTAAACATTCCCTGTCAGTATTGTGCACCAAATATTGCAGAACTGTGTTAGTACATGACAATCTGAAACTGAAACTAGCTTTACAATAGACTGTAAACAAAAGCAAAACTGGTATTTCCATTTTTCTGCTCAAGCTGAATATAATGTAGGAGTAAACTAGCAACGTAAATTATTAAACAAATTTAAAAATCATTAGGGCTCTATGGTATGAGTCACAAAAGCGAGCAATTTTTAGGAATATTTTTTTAACTGGGTAAGATTTTATCTAGCAGTGTCCTTGTAGTATGGATCTCTGCATTTACTACTTCACAACAGACTCGCCATTTTTTATTTCAGATTTGGCTCTCAAGAATAATTTTTAGTCATCTGTTACTATCTCACTAATTCACTAAATACTCAGTAATCTTTTTAGATGTGTTTTGGTTCAGAGAGCTGTTTTAGGAAAACCTTAGATTGCTGGCAGTGTTAAATCACTCATTTTCTCAGTTAACCAATATTTTCCCTTTCCACTGTGCTACTTAGTCTATTTTACATTTGACTATTTCCATATACCTTTTGCAACATTCATGTTATACGTTGTGGTTCCATGGCAATTTTCCAGACTGTAAGAGAGCACATCTACTGTTGGATATCCATGTGATTACAGATCAAGGGTACAGAGGAAAAATATCACATATGAAGCTTTCAACAGGTTCATATCACCCTAAAGCACAAGTGCTGTAAGGAATAACATTCTTGACTATTGCAGTTCCATCTGGAATGTTATTGCCGCTACATCCTTTTATGTCTATGCTTGACTGGCAATGTCAAATTACCAAATGCAGCTCAAATAATGATTTGCATTTGGCCAGCCCAGACACTAACAATGCTTGTATAAAGTCGCATTCCCAAAATATCAGTGGGCGTTACAGTTACTATGGGCAAAGAACTGAGGAAGGAAGACACATGAGAAAGGAGGATGAGGCATAAAATATATGTCGGATTATTATGATAACTTGGTATAAAATAATTTATTCAGCTTTATTTAATCTGAGTACCCCCTAAGCTTTATTTCTCATTTCTAAAAAGGTCCTGGCATGATGACACATTGATGTCTTTTAGGAGATTACAAAGGCTTCAATGTAATATTTAAGACATGGTCTTGAAAAAATGCATTTTGCAATGTCTCACTGGAGGGTTCAGTAATTTGTTTTGTCACTGATGGCAGGTATTACAGGGGTGACAATTTTTATTTGTTTTTCAGCTGTTCTTACTGACAGTTTCATCATCTTGTCATTTTGGGAGCAAAACAAACTCTGCTTTATTCAGTTTACAAAGAAGACAGGTTCTCCTGATGTAAACAAAAGACTTGAAAAACTCTCATCCTTGGATTTTAAGGTACAGATGTCAATGATGTCTTTAAACACCATAGTAACTTAATATTATGGATTACTGATTTTTGAAATCAGACTATTCTGCTAAGCTTATCAAAATATTTTAAATTCTAAAAATGACATTTTATTACGAAGTCAGAAAACATGGAATTGATATATTTAGAAAATGTTTAAAAATGCTGTTGGGGGTTAATTTTAATATATACGATATAGAGTAATTTACAATTACCCATCCAAACCTTAACTCTCTTTCTAGTTACAATATACCTATTTTAGGTATATTCCAGGTCTAGGAAAAATGGCAGAAAGGATGGCTTTGTGATTATAGCTTTGGACAAGGGCTCAGTGTTCAAATCCTTGCACTGCATTAGTCTGTATGCATTACCTTGGATATGTGGCTTCATCTTGCTCAGTTCCCTATCAGATTATCACACTGTGGGCACATCTACATGTGCATTAATGCTCCTTTTCTAATATGCATTAAATTTCGTACCTCTGGGCACTTTTACACGTGCTCCGGGGGTGGAGGGCAGGCAGCGCTTTAATTAGAGCAGCTATGAGAGCTACTTCAATTAAAGCACTGCTGCATCTCATGTATCAGGGTCCCCGTGCTTAAAAATAGTGGTGGGTGTGCTTAAACTAAAGCTCATTCAACGCTGATACTTGAGATGCAGGACGTTGCTGGAGTACGGCAATTGCCACGCTCCAAAAGACTCAATCAAGTCTGCTTTGTTGCACTGGAATTCCAGCATGTCGGAGCAGCCTCCGCACACATGTATAGGCACCCTCCAATGTGAGGTACTAAATTAAACTGCATTAGGCTTTGCTAATGTGCAGTAGCACATTTGCTCAGCTTTTAAGTGACACTTAATGTGCAGTAGACTATTTTAATGTGCATTAGCGTAATGTCATGGATTTTTATATGACGCTTTAATTCACACTAAAATAGTGTGCATTAAAGTGCATGTGTAGATGCTCCCTGTGGTACTGCCTTGTTCCTGCTTGGGATAGGTCTCTGCCACAGTCACATCTGTGACTGCAGAGTGGTATACATATCTGTGCTAGGTTTAAATAAGCCAACTAAAGTAGTAATAGTGATCTAGCTGCAGCAACATAGAGCCTAGTACAGGCTAATTTACCCTGCTTCTCAGGCAGGTTTCAGTACAAGACACTGAACTGGTAAGCTTTCTGGTTGTGGTGAAATGGGACTTCAGCTTCAGAGTGGGGACCTAGGTGCTACTGCAGTATAAAGAATATTAATGCTCTAGTTTCTGCAGGGCATCAGCTTCAGACAGGAAAATTAGGTAAGGAAGGGGTTGTTTTCCAATTCACTGCAAGGATAAAGAAGAAGCTGTTCTCCCAAAAGCTACAAAGATGTAGTAAGCAAGAGGAAGAGTGTTGTACTTTTTACAATCAGGATAAATGTTAAGGAAAACCACCTTGTGTTAGCTAGTATTTTTCCCATCACAACCCTCAAGTAATTTCCTTTCTCTTGTTAAGGGAGTTTCCATCTGTAAGGCAGGCTTTTTAAAGATGTGTTTAATTTAAGTTTTGCCATATTACATTTTAACTTGGTAGAAATGCTTTCTGCTAGGATGAGTATCTAATACATTTTCCAGGCTGTTTCAGTTCAGGGCCTCTTTTCAGCAGTGACTTGTGTTTGCGAGATTGATCCAACCTCTGTAACGTGGATTTGAGACAGTTCACTGTTCACCAGGAACTGAGCTGATACGTAGTTTACTTTAAAATGATGCGCACTTGTGCCTTGCCTATAGTATTTGTTAAGGTTACGCTTTAAAAGCTGGGTTGGCGATTTTTTTTCGTACTCCTAAACTTTAACGAAAAAAAACTAGTGAGCTAATGCTTGCCTTGAGCCTTCTCTTTTACTGGCCATGTTTCATGTGCTTGCTTTATACTCTTGTAACTCAGTTTTATTCTGGGTACTGCTAAGCACATTTCTGGGCCTAAATGTGCTGGCATTTTTTCTTGGGAAAGAAGGAAAAGCTAATCCATAGAAACATCTCACTGTGCTAGGAAACCATAAATAGCTCCTAGATTCTTTAATAGGGTTGTTATGTTTCGTTGTTTGCTGACAAAGCTGAGCTTCTAGAAGACTTCCACATATGATATTAACATTGCTTTCTCTAGAAATCAGTAGGAATCACTATGGATTATATTTTTGCCAGCCAAAAAAAAAGGCATTAGCATTTTTTAATTGAAAGTTCTTTTGTGTCAGGCTTGCTTATTTGGCAGCTAAATATAATTTTTATTATCTTCAAAATTGCACCAGTGTGTGGCAACAGAAAATATTATTCACTATTATACTATTTTGTCAACTCTTTGCAGTGAAATACATTGAATCCTGTTTCTCCCTGATCAACTAACATTGCATTTTTAGATCACCAGCAGTCAGCAGTAGAGTTCCAGTCAACAATAAGGGATCAGAGATAGTCCTCAATGGGAAGCCTGGAGAGCTGTAACAAGGTTGTCTTGTTTTCTAAACCACTTCCTAAATATTAACTTTATTAATAGGGGTGGAATATTTCTTTCAAAGTTAAGCATAGCATACAGAGCAGAGGACAGAAACAGAACAGGGACTGGCTTGGTGTTAATGCAAGACTTGGGACCCAGATCTCAGTTCAGTCTGTCTCTGCCACAGACTTTCTTTGTAACCTTGAGCAGATCACTTAATATTTCTGTCTCTCAATTCCCCATTTGTTAAATGAGGATAATATTTTCTGTCTTTCTGATGTACTTAAGTCGTAAGCTCTTCAGTACAGGAATTGTCTTTGACTATGCATGTTCAGGAAATGGCAAAATTGTAACCTATATTGGTCAGGGCCTGTAAGAAAAACTGAAATACAAATAATGAAAACAAGTCAGATTTGGTTTTTTTTCAACTTTGTGGATAATTTTTATTTTTTGTTTTTATGTTTGAAGGCAGAGAGTAACTTGTGTTCACTTCAGTGTATTCTTGGCTATAGGGATATACACTAGCTTTATTTTTTACCTTTAGAATATACTCTAATTTTTGATGACATATTAAAATACAGATGATTGGTATTATCTAGTAGTTCCATCTCCATAACAGATATACCCAAGTAAATCAATCAGTATGGGCATCTTTTACCTTTTTAAGAGAGATACTACTTTGAATTTTATAGCAAGATAGAGACACTGCATAAAAACTGAGCTGTTATGTGAATTAGCAGAGCTATATAGTCTTGGAATGCAACAAAGTATAACAGCAACTCAAGCCACTTTCCTTTTCTCAGTGGGATTAGTTAGTGTCTAAGGTGCTTTCTTAAGTGTAATTGATCAGAAATAATAAGTTTCTTTTTAAATGTTCATAAATAATATTACATAGTAAATTAGTACATGATTGCAGTATAATGCTAATTAATGTGTTTTGTATGGTACTCATTAAGCAATTATGCTGCACACATTTTAAATTTATAAAAAAAATAAGTGATCATGTCAGAGTTTCTTTTTTAAACTGCATATATACCACATTTTTATATTTTAAATTGACAGAATTTTAACAAATGAAACTGCAGGATAAATATACTGATAATATTGACCTTTTACAAGTTTTCCTGTCTTTGGCTTTTTAATCCATTTCAATTTACTGAACAGTGGAGACAGTACAAGGAGTTAAATGTTTACCATGAGAGAACAACATTGGTAATTACTTTGATTTCAGTTCCTTTTGATGTGTATTCAGGGGATGAAGAGGTCAATAATATTATGACCATGCAAATAGAAAAGGGTTCTTTTTGACCATATAAAAAAACAGCAAAGGATTATTAAAGCATTAACCTTGATTTTAATGGCCTTGGTTGAGTGGTGAGATCACAATTTGGATGAGCCTGATTATTTACTAAATACAATACATAAATGCAACGGGTTCTTAACACCCATTGCACTCTGGCATTATCGCATTACTGCCATCCTTTGTTGCCTTGCAGACAGGAATATGAAAGCAATCTGTCATGTAGTGAGACTGGCTCCAGAAGCATTTCTCTGATAAGAAGACCCCCTGCCCTTTGCTAGTGTCTGGTCCAGTAGGCTTAGCCATGCGCTTAATCCCCAGAAAGTGGTTCGATTATTGCTGACCAGCAATGGCAAGATAGTTTTTTTTTCCCCTAGCTATCAACCTTCCATTAATTCCTTAAGCAGAAATGCGGTGCAATCTATATTTCCTTGGCATGTGTCACCCAGATGGTGCACTGCTCATGTTTTCAAATAACCATGCTCCAAAATAACATAGTTTGAATAATAAATTCCACAAATCCTTTCTGAGAAATAGAGGCACAATTCTCAAGAGCTGCATAAACTTTACGCATGATGCTGTAGCTCATCCACATTATGCAGAAAAGTATATATTCTGTTACAAAATGGATATTTTTGGCTGCATTCATTGATTGGGGGTTGAAATTCATTCTTTCTTAAATATTGTGAACTATCTTTAATATTTGATGATGTATCTTAAACAGTAGGCTTAACTCCTTGGTCGGAATCACAGAACTTGTCATTTTATATGGCTGGGCTTAAATCCTTATGTGTAGGTCGATGCTGTCAAGCAACCATGACTGTACATTTTGGTATTGATTGGAGTCATTGCTGTAAATTCCTTTTAAACTCACATTCCTTTCCTTTCCAATCCCCTCCCCATAAATAAAACTGAATGTGAACATGTCTGTTTCTATAAAGAGAGATATTTCTTATATTTAGATATATATTTAAATGCAGCCTATATATACCTATATGAACATAGAGGAACACAGTCATCTGTGAGAATATAAATCTCAGCAGACATGTATGGTAATTACATCTAAATCCTTCAAATATATTGTTTTATAACTTTTAAGTATTTTCTGAATTCTTTTTTCTGCTAGATTTCTTATGTTGACATACCTGGACCAGAAAATAGGAGGATGAAACGTCATCTGGCAATAAATTGTATGCAAGATATGATCATTTGCTGGTGGTCAGCTACTAATGATGGAGCATGGCCTTGGTCTCCTATGTCCAGTGAAAGGAACAGAGCCAACCTATTGCTTTTAAGCTGTGCACGTGGCAGAATGGAGGTAGAGTTCTGAATGGTATCTGCTCATCTCTTGCTTGATTTTCAGATTTGCTAATAAACAAAAATATTCAATTCAAATTCACACTTGGGGCTAAAAATAATGGCTAATTTTAAGATAACAGACAAGAGTATAAGTCACTGAAAAAGCAGTTCCTATCCACATCTACATTCCACTCTTGTTGTGCATATAAACACTGAAGCACTTTTGTTCAGAGACATATTTTTTGCCCTGGGAGGTACCTGTACACCATGCATACATCCTAACTTTCCTTGCACTCTGTGTTACTGGTATAAAGGATATTGTATGCATTTTTCACTCTTCAGTTCTTATCAACCATCTTGGCTCAAAATTGAGCTTCTGCATTCTGTTCCAGACTGGCTGTAGGCCAAGTACACATTCCACCAATTTACCTATTCTACCCTTTTTCTTCTTCTGTATCTCTGACCCATTTTAGTTTATTTTTATTATTTTTCTCCATTTTGGTCCAGGCTCTGTCTATTGGAATAGGACTGAGGGCTCTCCTGGCATGTGCAATATATCTTCTCTAGCTAAATGAGACTCCTTTTTCTCTTTGCTTTGACCAGGCCTTGCTATTATCTGTTAGCATAGCTTCCCCTGGTCACTTGATTTCAATAAAGTCTTTCTGGTACCAGGGTTATGCCTGACATGCAAGGTCCTTTCTCTCATCTCATTTATGAGAGTGTCAGATCCCTAGGAAACATGCTAAGCGCAAATCATTCCATTTCTGGGCTCAGAAGGACTGTGCTTGGAAGCAAACCGAGCATCACACCCCATTCTGGAAAATCCATCCTGTTGATGTCTAAAAAGCAAACAAACAAATTCCAAGGCACTCTTTGGCTTTCTGACTCTAGTGGCTAGCTATCAGAGAATTGATGATCTGGCATAAAGGATTTTAGCACTAGTGTCAGAAGGTCTATCAAAGCATGTGCCTCAGCAGCTTCCTGATCATCCCATTTCATCCACCATTCCAGCAGCTCTACAATGCCACCTCATTTCATTGCACCAAGTAACCTCACTCTCTAGCTTGAGCCAGAGTCCACTGGCTCACGCCATGGGTCAACGTGCCAGATGGGTGAACATGCCAGTTTTTCTTGGCCCTCTTGTACTTGGTGCCATGAAATATTTCGCTGCACAAGACTTCCATTCTAGTCATCAGAGCAACTCTGTTCTAGAACTAGACTTCCATTCTAGTCACTGTGGCAGAAAGCCACCTTGGTTTCTCCCCAAAAATCTCTGCCCTGTGACACTGTGATTTAAATCTCCGTGCTGTGACCATTCAATTAGGATGGGCCCAGCACACAGGGGACCACACCCTCAGCCTGTCTCTTTAGGGAACTGGAGCTGGCTGCATTCCTGAGGGAGGGGGAAACCTGCTCCCTCTGCTTATGTGACTTGCATCACTTACCTGGGTGAGGGGTTTCTACCTGGGGAGCTGGAATCTGCCCGGTAACAGGTGATGCATTTCAAATTGGTTGGCTGACAGCCAACTGGGGCTGACCTCCGCTGGCCCAGGTGAATGAGGTCACAGGGGCTATATAAGTTAGGACGGGGAAGGAGGCGGTCTCTCCTCTCCGGCCATGAGGTGACGCAGCAGCCAGGCAGGGGACAGAGAAGCCTTAACATCTGAAACTGGCTCTCTCCCCCCAAACTCATGAGCTAGGAACTGCCTGCCTCCAAAGGGAAACTTCACCTGCCTTTGGAAGATGCTTGTGAGTAAGCTACTCAATCTGATTAGATATTTAGCTGGAAGTATCACAGATGCGTAATCAAAAGGCTACCACAGCCAGACTGTTTGCTCTTTAGGATTTCTAGATATTGCTCTATCCTGTACCCTAGTTTACCCTACCCCCTGTAATCAATAAAGTTCTCCTTTTTGACTGGTGTGGGAGACTTATTGAGGGGTGGGTCTAAATTATGCCTAAGAGACCCCTTAGGTCTGTGGACTAAGGGAGACTATACCTTTTTGCCCCCGGACTTGGGGAAGTACCCCAAGTGCCTGTATTGGGTCGAGTACCCGTGGGACTTTAGGCCTGTGTTACCCCAAGGACACAGGGCCGCGAGACAGTCTATTCTTGGGGTGGTGGCGGCACGTTACCCCCAGACTAGCGAGTGTGCTCCGGGAGAGGGGTCAGCCGGACATAAGGCGCCCCTAGGGAGGCATTCGGAGCCTGGAAGGTGGTCGGGCGCAGGGAGGTGGGTGGCTCAACGCAGGAGCACCCCCTACTGGCCTGCCTCACATGGTGGAAACAGCGGAGGGATACGAATACCCAGCTGTGTTCCTGAGGTGGGATCTCTGCACCCGCCACAGTCACCAGAACCAGTAGTTGAAGTTTCCTTTTCTGACTTTTTTTTTTTTACTTAAGGGATGATTGCAGCCCCAGGTCAAACTACCTTTGTGCTCCCCATGACCATGGAATCCTCTCTGGACCTGCCCTTCATGTTTCTTAGTTTCTGGTCCAGTGTCAACAAGACACTGTGTGGTTCTTCTGGCCATTGGCCCTAGATTCAAGAGACAATTCCGGAGACAGGTCCTGCCAACTGGGAATCATACATCTCAACATTGCAAGCTTTCCTTATCCAGACCCCAGGGCTTGTCCCCAGAATGGAGGGACTCTCCAGATCCAGCTTCCAGTGGGGATTCTCCTTATTACTTCGAGAGCTGTTCTAGAACCAAGGGAAATTATCTAGATCCACTTACCTGGCATCTCAGCCTGGATGTTGGATGGTGGTCAGTGATAGCATAAGCTTGCTCATCTCCTGTCAGAGGTATTCTCATCCATAGCAGGAAGACTCTACTGAATGATGTTTACTGACTTAAACCAGGTTTTGACTGGTGTCACATGATATTGTTGTCTCTTCTCTGCCCAAGACCCCCATTCTAGCCATTGTAAAATACCTTCTAGAGCTGAGTTGTCATGACCTCACCTCTGTCACAGGGTACCTGCCTGCTTTCACAGCTCACCACCCTCCTGTGGAGGATTTTTCTGTCTTTTCCTAAATACCTGCATTTAAGTTCCTAAAGGCTTAACTGAGCTACTCCTAGTAGATTGTATATCTGGCCCTTGCTGCCCTGATGAGTCCACTATTTGAAAAAAGGCCACCTGGTCACTGCAGCATCCTTCTTGGTGGCTTTTGTTGGCATAGAGCATGAGGAGTGGCAGTGTGGGTAATGCTAGAGTCTCTAGGCTCCAGTGCTTGAGGTGCATATACATTTAAAATGGAATATGGATTTGGACAGTGCTTCTTGCAGAACTTGTTACTGGTCAGTAATTCACTTCTCTTTGCACGTTATGTAAAAAGAGCCATATGATTGGTCAGAGCTCCAGTATGAAACTGAAGAAAGTCTCTGGATTAGGGTCAGAGGAGAGAGCAATAAGGGTGATGTCATGGAGGATGAAGTAAATAAGGCTTTCCTCAAACAGGTAGCGGAAGTTTCCCAATCACAGGCCCTGTTCTCATGGGGGATATTAGTCACCCTGACATCTGCTAGGAGAGCAATACAGCAGTGTGCAGGCAATCCAGGAAGTTTTTGGAGAGTGTTGAGAACAACTTCCTGGTGCAAATGTTGGAGCAGTCAACTAGGGACCATGCTCATCTTGACCTGATGCTCACAAACAGCATACTCCTGCCAATGCAGCCTAGGATACCATTAGCCTTCTTGGCAATATGGGTAATGGTATCCTAGGCTGTTGGCTCATATTCAGCTTATTGTCCACTGTAACACCCAGGTCCTTTTCTGCAGAGCTCAGTATTGCCAACCCCACCATATGAAAAATCATAAGACAAACTCTTAAAAATCAGGAGATTTGGTGCATAAATCATGAGATGTTATTTTTGAAGTGTGTGTGTTGCGGGGGCGGGGTGTTATTTGTGAAGGTGTGGGGGGCTGTAGGTGTGTGTGTGGGGTTTGGAGCCTGGGGAGGGGGGGTTCCTGCACACCCTGGCAAGATGCAGGGTAGTGTGGGTCAGGAGTGAAGGGCAGCAGTGTGGCAGGAAGCCACCTTTGTTTCTCCCCAAAATCTGTGCTGTGACAATTTGATTAGGATGGACCCAGCAAAGGAGACACACCTTTACCCTATCTCTTTAGGTAACCTAAACTGGCTACATTCCTGAGGGAGGGGGGAAACCTGCTCCCTCTGCCTACGTGACTGGTATCAGCTACCTGGGTGAGGGGCTTCTACCTGGTGGGCTAGGGTCTGCCCAGCAACTAGTGATGTATTTCAAATTGGTTGGCCGACAGCCAACAGGTGCTGGCCTCCATTGGACCAGGTGAATGAGGTCACAGGGGCTATATAAGTTAAGACTGCCCAGGAGGAGGGAGCAGCAGCTATGCAGGGGACTCAGACTTAGAGAGCCGTTGGTTACCTAAAGAGATAGGGTAAAGGTGTGTCTCCTTTGCTGGGCCCATCCTAATCAAATTGTCACAGCACAGAGATTTTGGGGACAAACAAAAGTGGCTTCCTGACACAAGAAGCAAGACTAGGGGGTTGTGGCTTGGGAGTGAGGCACAGATACACAGACATAGACACACAGATGAGTCAGGTCAAAGGTTGTGTGACAGAGCTGCAGGCACTCGTCCAGAGGCGCAGGGGGCAGCGGTGGCTCTGTGCACATCACCAGGGGAGGCATGAGGCGCATGTGCTTCCTGGATTTGTGCATGGGGCAGAGGTGGGCTAGGGCTTGGCACCCTGCTGCCTTTGCCCTCAGAGCCATGCAACATCATGTGTGCCTCCTGCTGCCCGCTGAGCAGACAGAGGATGCACAGTGCAGCCATCATGTGGCTCCCAGGGCAAAAGCAGCAGGGTGCAGAGCCCGAGCCTGAGCCTGGAGTGGGCAGCCTGCTTCTGTCCCATGAACAAATCCAGAGGGCACATGCCTCCAATGCCTCCCCCAAGGGTGTGCGCAGTGGCAGGGAGCCATACCCCCCTTCTCCACACCTCTGGATGAGCTCCCCGCAGCTCTGTTGCATGACCTGTTCC